CACCTGGGAAGAGGGAGGGGCACTTAACCAGGCCATGATTTTATGGTATTTGAGCACTTACAATAATTTAATGCAGCGCCGCATTTTTGAGTTGGGTTAAACAAGTTCACGTTTGGGCACTAATTATATCTACCCATAAGAAAATATGTAGCCAAAAGGTAACTGCATTATTCTCCTGGTATTTATAATAACACTTAATCGAAATGGCAATTTCGCTGTAACCACGTGACGTGCTGGACAGTCGAATCTACTTGTCTGACACATGCACACTAGGCGAATTGTATAGAGGTTTTGTCTGTTTTCCCATGCAAAATTACAACCTCACTAAAAAAGAGACACTATTGATGTCGTTTAGTTTCCAAACATTATCAGTAGACATAGGCAGGGCAAATGTATCAGAGAAAAGGCGATGAAATACGCAGCAAACTCTGTGTAGCAGGGAATCCGACTTTAGCGAATGCCAGTGGATAAAAAATGGTGGTGCATAACGGTCTGTTCGAAAAAAAGTTTACGAAATTTATGAAACAACAAGGCTGATCTGCTTAATGGTGCTAATAAACGATTGTACGTTTTAAGTTAATATGTCAAGCAATGAAACGGGCCTTGGTTCACCTGAGAGCCGATTCCCCAGAAATTATCTGAGATCACAGATACCAGATGTCAGTCGATCAGTCCTAAAAAACCACGAAAATTTGCTGTTCAGACTTCTGAGACGACTACAACAACAAAAACAATTCAGCACAGAATGACATAAAGAGTGTCTCAAACTGATGTTTTACCGAGCATCTGCTCTGCACCGCAAACGTTCTGAGATCCACGCACGCGACAGACGAATCCGCGCCTGTGCTATACAGATAGTTGTCAGAGGTAGCGATCGAAAACGCCGTTCCTGTGTGCAACTGAAAAACGAAAGTACACAACGAAACTCAGCTGACATGAGCAAGCGTTCAGCAGCATGTTTTACCTTCAACGAACGCATAGGGTTCAGAGTGCAACGCATGTCACATACGTTAACACAAGAATTATACGTGGCGGCGTAGACGATGTTCGGACAGGAAGCTAATGACATCACCGGTGAGTCGAAACTGAAAAAAGTCAACATAGGTAAATAAATGAATGAGACAATAAAAGTAAATAAGTACCAAAGATGCAGAATTTACTAAAAAAACATGCTGTGGCCATAATCTACGATTTATTAGCGGGAAAAGAGTATTCTTTCGTTTAGAAAAATACAGATTTAGAAGACATTTTCATATTACTTAGGTTGCCCCAGAGCTGTCGACTATCTTGTTCGTAAATACATGCCAAACAGTCGTCGTAATTTCAAAGGATTACCACACGATTTTCGAATATACTCTGCTCGTTGTTAATTTAGATTTTAGCTCTCATGGTCGAATAAAAAAAATTCGCTACAAGCAAATTATCATGGTTATTTTAAATTTCTTAAAAAACTGTAGGTTGTCTAAGATTCAAGACTGCGCTAATCTAAACAGTTGAGTTGTAAGTTAATACTAGAATGTGCTTACTCCATTCCTGTACAGAACAGGCTATTGTTTAGTTCTTTAGCCGTGTAACGTGCTGGCCACATGTTTGGATTTCAACGTAAATAAAACTGTGACGCTCGGCTGCCTCTCAATAAACAATCGAACTATATCCATGACTGTCTCCTCTCTCCAAGCGCCCGTGATATTCCCGACGGGTTGACTAACTAGAGAATATGGTCCTTTTGATGCGACCCTACCATCGGCTGGATCAGCATGCTGGAAAACAGTTCAGTCTGAGCCCTACGTTCATGCAGGAGAACCCATTCCTAATCAGTCCATAAAAAACAAGGATTAATTGCGGAGAGACAGTGCAGTGACGGTCGATACTTCCTTTCCAGTCGAGTTTTCAGTGATTTTCGATGGTGTGAAATCTCAGTGTAATTCTGCCTGAGAATCACCAGTGTCGGTTATAACACACAAGACCTTTAGCAGGACTGGCATGGCAGACACCTGCACGTACTGGTTTATTTCTACTATATGAAGGCGTGGAGTGAACAAGCAGCTCAAAGCAAAGTAGCAGCGTGCGTTTTTGATACGATCTCAATCACCTCAGGCATACTGGGAAGTACAAAGGATATGTCATCCAGTATTTACTACGTTGTACAATCTGCATACCTCGACGTACTCCCCACCCACAGCTATGCACGTTCAAGCCATAAGTTCTGCAACATTC